TGGAAAGCGTGGAAAAATTGTCCAACACTCCAAAACGGCTGACATCCTCGTGGAGGTGGACTAAACGATAAACATTATAAACAAGATCAGCAGGACTGTACAATATTGGGAAATCGGAAACAAATTTATCTAATAACAAAAGTCCAAAATCAACGAAGGATTTGTGCAAAATAGGATGGGGGAATATAAAAACGGCAACAAACAAAAGAAGAAAATGTTCATAACGGGAGGACTCAAGATGGGAGACTAAGACTACGGGACCTATGCACAAGAGGAACTGGCGGTATTTCGCGACCTTCCAGAATTCCAGACAATAAAGAGGTGTGTACTTGCGTGAAAATTCAGCGGGCAAACATTGACTGCACTGCTTTATGGAGGCATTAATTGTGACGGACTGCTTCCCCGTAGCCAGCCGCCACATATGCAGGAGCCCAGAACATCTATCTGTACACCACATATTTTTTACGTTGCAACTAGGGTACTCAAAGGCCTACGCCTATTTCCTTCAATAAACTGAACTGAACTGAACTCAGCTTCCGCATGACACCAAGACACACAAGGTGCATGTAGTCAATTGTAAAAGTATCTACCATATCAGTAGGCAAGTCCTCGAAATGTGAGGTGCCTTTGTGGTGCTGCTCCTGAACTCTCATGCGGAATGACCTGTCATTTAGCAGACGCCCGCTGTGCACGAGGAACATCATGCTGTTCGCCACGGGCCTTCCCATATGACAAAACCTAGGAGGATTACATTTGCGTCCATTATATCAATTGCCCGTCGCAGCCGTAATAGACAATATGCGCTTTTACTTGCCGGACGTAGGACCGAGCAGGCGTGTCGCAGATGACGTTGGCGAGCTCCACTCTAACTACGTCATCCGTATCCGGGACCTGAAGTCCGCTGGTCAGAATATCATTTAGTTCTGAGATGCACTGACCAAGAAATACATCCAAAGGATCAGGCTTGCCGGAACCGGAGAACACTTCAACAACAAACGGCAGTCCACGGACAGGATAGCTGACTCGAGCGAGGATTCGCCATAGACACTGGCCAGACCCTTTAAGTAACTTCATTCCGTCAATGTGGAGTTGAGCCCGTATTTTCGGTATCAAAACCGACGGCCGAAGTTGCAGCTCACCTAACAGACCACGTTTAAGGCCCAGATGGACGTAGCTGTTGTTAGAGAGGGACGCGGTAACGCATGCTCACGGTGTCTGCATGAGAGTTCGCGGGTCCTTGGGCACCTCAGGATTGCATTGCCGCAAAAATTGGACCAGCAACTTTAACATTGACTGTGGCATTTGGACACTTGAGCGGAATTGCCTCAAATCCGTCAGGAAGCATTTGCCACTGAACGGGTTTGAGCTTTCATCTGCAAGCTGGTCTTCGTCTACATCGTCTAATAACATACGCATATAACACCTACCAATGCTAACTTCGGAGCTAAGGTGCAGCACCGGGCGTTCGGGTGATGCCTCCGTAACGAGAGATGACGTAGACGGGGGCGAGGGGTCATCGGTGGCGACATAGTATGCCATCATCGTCCGCTTATTCATTTTGTGCATTGTGCTGCCATTAATTCCCCAGTATTTCCTTTCCATATTTGCTTACAATTAACATATAAATACTATTAACACATATTACACCGTGATATACTACACTCAAGCAGTCAGATTATGTGCCATTCTTATAAATACCCTTAAGTACGATTCTAGAGACTATAACAAGATATTTACTTATTTAAATGACACATTGCATCGCATAGAAGAAAGAAACAAGTAAATGGATAACGTACTGCAGTCGAAACGAGCCGGATATGGAATAGGAATTGGTCAGCTGTATCGATCTGGCGTGCACACAGTGAGCGTACAAGTGCCGTCCACGTGGGCGTGTACATGACCGACTTAAACAAAGCCAATATTTGCCTTAGGGAATAGTTACCTTTTCTCGATTTTATTCGACCGAAAATGTATTATACAAGCTAAAAAGCTTATATTTAACGATAAGCGAGCGAAATCTGTCTAAAATAATGCAGAATGACGTCATTAGAAAGGATGGAAATTCACCAAAATTTGGACGGAGCCTGGCCCCATCTGGCCCCCGGGGTCATGTGTTGGCAGGACGCCCCGCTACCGACCAACACGTCATTGGTACGTCTCGAATTCACTCAATCTAACTATTCGTCCTTTGTTCGTCTTTTTCATCCGAACTTCGGTCTGAAAAGGGAGCACCTGTAGTGGCCCTACTCCGAACGCCTGTCTCAACGTTGAGTCTTTCACAAGTGTCTGCACTTGCGTACCAGGGCTGTCGGACATTCACCCACTCGGCTCTCCAACTGGCCAATCAGATTCAAGGCCGGGTCAGACGTGCTCCAGCTTAAGACGCTGTGACGCATTCCCTCGGACACTTGGGACGACGCTCACCGGGCGTCCTACTGCCAACTACCTCCAACCATTTCTCCAGTTACTCTGTACAGAATATGTTATCCTTCCCACTGGAAAGAACACTATCACAGCTAAGTCGCTATAAGTTTGACCTTAATGCGCTCTGAAAAAAAAAACAGTCGTGTCATTCAAGGGAACTAGTTTCTCTTCTATTATTTTAACTCGCTTGTTGGGATCCTTGCAATTGACACAAAAACGGGTTGACAGGGGGTTGTGCCATTAATCATATAGCTTTCAGTGCCTGATGCCACCGCACTGACCATTATTTCCTGTCGTCTCCTGAATTCCACTAGGCCTAATCGCCACGGAATCCAATGATCCCATCGGCATTTTTTTCAAGAGAGACAGTGAACGATTTATAAGCGCTCCTCAGATGCTGTTCCATATTTAAGAACTCATCCCGATCGACTATAGACCGTACCCTAGGAGCATAATGGTAATTGCTCTGCTCTTCGTTACCGAAAGTACCGTGTTCGAATTCGGGTGGGCAGTTTTTTTTCGATGCATTTTTTTGCCCGAGTGCCTCATTTCTGAGGGTTTCTTGATGTTCTTGTCTGTTCTGGAATAGTGCTGGCTTTTACTGGCTAGTTGATAGAGTGAAAATGCTACCAAGCATATCGAGCAAAGGAGAAGGCGACTCAGCCGTTTCTAGTCTTCGATGTACATCTTGAAGAAAAGCAGAGACGTAGAGTGCGTTGTACAGATAGGTGGACGTTTGCAGATCGCTGTTAAGGACAAATTGGAGATATACCTCAATGCCGTGAACTAAGAGAAATAATCGTTGAAACTGTTCCTCTGAGAGTTCTGGTTGGATTTTTTCTTAGACACATGGGAGGTAAATCTGAAACCCACAGTTCTCGGGAATCTTAGAAATTTCAAAATGAGAAACTCGAAATCTGGATAACACTGATTTATATCAAATGTAGCCCGGACAATACACCACTTTTGGGACATTCGTACGGCTAGACGCTAGGCGTAATTTATCTGTTGTTTGTCAGAAAAAGGAAGAAGAATCTGCTCAGCGGATAGCAATTTAAAAGATCGAATTATTATCCAGTCTTTTTCGTCAGAAGGGGTACCCTGTCTTATTCACTGCTAATAAAATGGCCGAATGACCATCAAAGCCCCCTCCGATGCTGGCGCCAGGAAAGAAGAGACATTTCATCGGGTTCTCATTTCAAGTGGGCTTTTAAGAAGACGTCAACATCAGGCTGTATCACGGACCTTTCCGGAAGCTGACACCCGTGTACTGCTCTTCAGTAGTCCCATCCCATCCGGAGAGGGCAAGGTCAAACAACCAAATCAGACTACCCCCATGTGTATTTGCTCCTTCGCCTCCTCCTGTAGGGCAGAATATATTGGTCGCAGGCGTCGGCGTTTATCTAAAAGAATAAATGAACATCTTCCAGCATGGTTTGGAAAGGATTGAATGAAGAACGTCGAGAGCTCTATACTCGTGCACATAGTAGACATAGACCACCAAGTAGGCGCCAAAAAGGGGTTCCGAGTGATTAACAAGGTTCCATCAAGCCATCCAAAGCTACTTGGGCAGCACCTGATGGCTACGGTAGAGGCGGCTGCAATTAGGCCACGCGAAATGGCCGAATGTGCACAGAACTTTATTCAGGTCCCACAGTTGCTATCACTCAAAGCCACCAAGCCAGTCACCCGCACAATTTCCTTTCCCGGGGTCCGTATTCCTCTGGCGTTGACTGGAATTTTGGTGTTTCACTCTTCCTCCCCTCCAAACCCGCGCTACATCATCATTATCTACTTGGTCGTATCTTATGCTTCATGATTTGATATTGCCATACTAGTGTGAAGGCATGAAGAGAATTTATCAAAAGTAGACGTTGCTCATCAATTGGCCTTTGAATTTTTTTAATGCGTTAGACGGTCTTGCATGCGTTCAGGACGATTATTTATAGTTGTAGCGGCCGAGGACGTCAAGGGTAGCGCACAACCAAGTAACGGAATACCGAGGAGGAGATCCTGGCTTGCGTTGATCTGAATACGATTGTTAGCAGTTCACGATGCTCATCCATACATAAAGGAAGAAGAAGCGATCAGCGGACGGAAGATATAGTGAACAGGAAAGGGAATCGAAAAGATGTATAATGACAGTTAAAAGTACAAACGGGATGAGTTACAACAGTCGAGTGACCTGTCTGGATGGAGATGCGAGGCCAACATGCCAGCTGGACAACCGGTGGGGCGCGCAGTGCTGGGGGCAACTGCAGGGAAGGGCCGAGGGAGTTGCCGATGTAGTGAGGACAGCGGTACGAACGTTACGATACGATACGGAGCGGGAGAGGGGATCGGCGGAAGAGAGTGGAAGGGACACCGGCCATCTTCACCAACACGCGGCTACGCCATCTCCATCCTAGGCCCGCGCGCCAAAAAGTGTCACGGCATTCAAACAACCCTGTATAGATCACGGGACGTTACATAGTGTCTTCAGGTGACCAAGACATTTTCTATTGGACGTCCATTCTGTTCACTGACTGGCTGGCATTTCCAGGAGCGGGCTCTTGAATATTCCGCCCTATCAAGCAATGGCGGCAAATGAGACTGTGTCAGAAGCCTTTCGACGGGTTCTTTACGGACACAAATTCGCATCATATGATGCATTAGAAGAGGCAATTAAACGCTTTAGTGAAGTGAGTTGTATACTTGGTGTACTGATCATAGTTAGGAAACCGGTTACTACTTTAAGCCTGTGAACACACACAAATTTTCCGCTGAGAACCCTAATGCAGAGAAGTTCGTTATCCACAGTCGTAAATACGTGTGCGTGTTAGCCCCAACTCACAAGTATGCTCAAGTTAGCGTTTGCTGTACAGCGCCCATTTAGACGTGAGGGCTGTGACGCGTTCTTCAACATAATGCACCGCAGGGTGGGCTGTCTTGTAGTCACATCGTTCAGGACGGAACATGCCCACGAGCCCGTGCCTGTGAAGCCTCAGCGTTCTGAGCCGAAAAGCCCAGATTCGCAGCTGACGGACTTCCACACACTACGTCCTTCGTCGAAAAGTAAAGATATTCAACTCAATTGTAAACCGTTGCAGCGGATGAGCAAACCACAGTCCTATGTTATTTGTTCAAGAAAATTATGCGGAGTGGAGTCTATGATAGTTTCGACGACTTAATGTACGCGGTGAGGAAATACGAGCAGGTAAGCGTAGTAACGGATCTGTTACTTTGCAGGCTTCCTATACGAGCTTCACGCGAAGTCGAAGCAATAGACTGCAGTCAGATCATCCCCGCGCTGATAGTTTGAAGTACCGTTACGTGTATTTCATTTGTTCGCAAGGCGGGGTGTTTCGCGGCGCTTTTTCGAGGACAAGGTCGACGTAAGCTCCTAGGGCCGAATTTCAAACCATTTAGGTCACTGAAGCTCGGTTGCACAGCACGTTTTACGGCAATTGCACATGAGGGTAAACTGCACGTGAAAGCGCTTAATTTGCGCCACAATCACATTTGCAGTAGGAAAACGGCCTCAGCATACCGGAAGTTCCGGCGGTAAGTGGCTGACCGAAGAATCTGCTACACCTAATGTATCAGATGCGACCCTCGTTGGGGCCTCTGAAGATGTATCTTGGAAGTAAATTCGCTTTACCAAAACGCAGTCATGGATTGCTACGGTCTGATTTATAAGACGAAGGTAAAAAAAAGAACGACAGAGCTCAGCATGTGTTTTACCTTTTCCGGAAAGCCGTCTACGGTTGCTCCGTCACTATTTTTTTTAGTGATGAGTAGAATCAGGAAACGTGTTGCCATGCTCCGGCTCTGCATTGTGGGCAACTGGTGGCGATGTAGACGCCGGTGGGCCCATTATGTCCGATGTATGTTAGCAACGTACGGCGATACTACCACAAAGCCTACAAGAGCTTGAAGCCGCGTGTTGTGAGTGCTCCAGATGTTGGCTGGGCACACCTCAGATGTTCATTTCACCCGGCTTCCTGCAAACGCCGACGTCAAGCCTTCGAGCGATGCGGTCGGCAAGTGCAGCTGTCGGCTTCACCATAGCTGACAACAACCGTGTCTTCACACCCTGAGCTTCGTGGAGCCGCATACTATTAGCCCCTGCCCGTCTCTTCGAAAGAGCAGATGGGTTTCCCATGTAGAAGTCTATGAAAACCCTTTAGCTGACGAAAATGTTTACCCGGAAGGCCGTTGCGCCATTCAGGACATACATTCTTGTTAGAAAAGGGCGGAGGACGTTAGAAACCTATAGGTACGAGGTGACCATGAGTCACGCGCAGCCTATCGTGAAGTTAGTTGTGGAAGTCGGCGCCTCGAAGAGTTGTTACTGGCGGTCGATGTATTCGCCGACCGCATCATGAACGCGCCCTCTTGTTATTTACAAGGGTCGCTTGTCGGCCCCACAGCAGAGCGAGGGTAAAATGAAGAACGACACGAAGAACGGCGTCGTTAATTGTGTGCTAATGGAGGAGGATGGTATGTTTGTCGCGCTGCGGGGTTCTAGCCAAGACCCTTCAGCACGTGTTCTGCACGGTGACAAGCTGCTCCCCAACTTCACCTTCGTGGCTTGCCGTGCGCGAACTACCCCTGGACGACTCGCAAACCTCTAAGTAGTCGCCCAGCGAACGTGACTATCTCTACGAATGGTGCGAGCACTAGTCGTACTCATATGAACCCTGGGGTACCTAGTTGGCATTCGGAGGGGATGGCCGTGGACGTTCACGATTGTTCTTTTGTGCACAGGTAGTGCCTGCGGCGGAAATATCGTAGCAAGTAGGAGGCATTTCTCAGTGTGCTTCATGCTGGGTTCATGTGCTGTGCTTTATGTGGGTTGAAAATCCACAGCTGTGACAGGCGGTTGTGCGATTTTCCACCACCCTGACCGGTGGGGCTGCGATGCAGGAACTTAGCTTGTAGCGTTTACGTAACCTGTGCGTAAGTTATGGGCCACGGACCTTGTCATACCCTTCCAACAAACGCGTAGCACGCCAATGCACTTCCCCGGCTAAAGTAAGCTGCCATTACCACAAAGTGCAAAGATTTCCAAGCACAGGTAATGATACGTCTTGTAAATTTTAATTATATCCCGACATATAGCCCCCCCAGTCGATAGAAGAGATCAGGAAAGGAAGGACTGTCTGCTGATAAGCAGGTTAGTTTAATACTATCAACGGTGCAATAAAAATGCTATAATTTATAGCCAGCCACACTGCAGACCACCTAAAAGGGGAAGCCTTCTCAACCAGACAGAAAGTCACCGTTATCTCTGTCCAGTAGACTTCATGGATTCAGTTACGCTGGTGTGCATTCGCATGAGTGCGCATATTCCTGAATTCGAGGCCCTCCGGATGGCAGCCTTCAGCCACCCACTGTGAAACGAATCCATTTCCCCCCTACGTAATTGGATATTATGTTAATAAAGAGACGTATTTATTGCACACTTACGTCCGAGCTGTTCTCAACCTAGAGTCATCGCAAGCAGTGACACATCGTCAAGCGAAGGAGGGGACTGCCGACAGTGTTAAGGCAAACCCAGAGGACCAATTCCTACATATTAGGACTCTCAAGCATGTAAGGATTGCTTCACAGAGGGTTCGAACCGGGCTATATCGGTCGTTCAGATGCACGAAAAATGACACTGATGACCTCTATGACTTAGTAGTTGAGACAACAGGCCTTCTGTGTATGTTTATGGGCTGAACATGCTCGATCCCACGGCATGGCGCCATTGACTTATGTGACAGTAGTCAGCACAGCGGGGTTTATCTGCCGTTGATCTTTCCAATTGTTTTAAGCGCAAAAAGGGCCTGTTCGCTGACGAGGTGGCAGAGTGGGAAAGTGCTAAATATTAAGCTTTGTCATTTGTTGGAATGGGGGATTATTCATATGGCGAGCTAACATCACTTGACGCGACTGGCAGCGTCGACGTAGATAGCTGCTACTTTCATTTCACTCAGGCCACTTATAAGTAGGCGGCGAAAAAACCGCAAACGTATGCAGCGACAGGGAACAATCAGGCAGATTGCTGACGGCCCGCACAGTTCGTTTTACATCGGGTTCTATTTTCCAGGTTTGCATCGTGTAAAGCGTCCTCGTTCCACACGATCTTCCCTAACGAAAACCCTTCTGTCCACTGGAGGAGGAGTCGTGGGCTTCCGGATAACTCATCAATACCGTCTTGACGGTCTTCTCCATGACGGCAGCAGATTGGCGGGTCTGTTTGGCCACAAGTTTACGGCTATCGCTTTCTTGAGTCGGCGTAATGTGGGCTGTTTTCCAATCTGTGGGACGAATTCCAGTATCGGACGGTTTTGGTACAAGACGTCAATGGCCTAGCCAGTTCTCGCGCAGGTCCACACAGCCGTTTTGCTGGGATCTCGTACGGATCGGGACATTTACATTCCTCCAACTTTTGAAAAATAGCTTCTTTTTTAAATAAGATACTTCGAATAATCGACGATCCCACGCTCTCGTAACCAGATAGAATGAAAGCGGTTTCTCTTGTGAAAGCAGACTGGCCGAACTGTGGAAAAGGTTCAGCTTCGTTTGTTCCGTCAGATATCTTCAGGCCATAATTCCTCATGACAGGGATCCGGTTCCTGTTACTTCTGCTCTTTCACAAGTAGCTGTTGAGCAGTTTGGGATTCCTAACAACTGGATGGAAGAACGTACTCTCAAAATCCCATCGTTTTTTGG